GACTCACTAGCACCTAGAGCAGCAGTCCTAACAGAACGATAACCTCCACCACCAGGACGACCTCGCTGAATAACCCACTCACGAAGCTGCCGAGGGGTGGGGTCGTCCGTGAGAAGCAGTGCTCGCTGCTGTCCACCCCTGGCCGCAGCAACTGCCGCGGAAGTGGCCATGACAGACAGTGACGGTCAGAAGTAGGTCCAGCACCTCCAGCTCCTACAGCGCCAGCAGCACCTCCTGCACTCCGAGCAGCACCTCCACCACTCCCAGTAGCACGAGTAGCAGCAGCAGCAGCAGTAAGAGCAGCAGGGCGGCGCGCGGCCAGAGCAGGGCGGCGTGTAGCCAGAGCAGGGTTGCGCGCGGCCACAGCATGGCAGTAGTAGGCAGGGCCCTTTTTTTTTTTTTTTAATAAACAATTTAATTATATTTATTGTATAGCAGGGCGCTGGCGCAGGGCAGGGCGCTGGCGCAGGGCAGGGCGCGGGCGCAGGGCAGGGCGCTGGCGCAGGGCAGGGCGCCAGCGCGCGCAGGGCAGGGCGCTGGCGCAGGCTGCAGCAGTGCGTGACGCGAGGGGCAGCAGAGCGCGACGCGACGGGCTGCCTTAGGGCGCGACGCGCGGGCTGCAGCAGAGCGCGACGCGCGAGGCAGCAGCGCGCGACTCGTGGGCTTCGTTGGGGCGCGGGCTGCAGGGGCAGGACGCACGGGCTCCAGGGGCGGTGTGCGGGCTCCAGGGGCGACGCGCGGGCTGCATGGGCCGCGCGGACGGGCTGCAGAGGCGACGCGCGGCTCGGCAGGTCCGCGCGCGAGCTGTAGGGGCGGCGCGAACGGGCCGCAGAGGCGGCGCGCGGGCTCCAGGGGCGACGCGCGGGCTGCAGGGGCCGCGCGGACGGGCTGCAGAGGCGACGCGCGGCTCGGTAGGTCTGCGCGCGGGCTGCAAGGGCAGCGTGAACGGGCTGCAGGGGCAGCGTGAACGGGCTGCAGGGGCAGCGTGAACGGGCTGCAGGGGCAGCGTGAACGGGCTGCAGGGGCAGCATGAACGGGCTGCAGGGGCAGCGTGAACGGGCTGCAGGGGCGACGTACGGGCTGCAGGAGCGACGTACGGGCTGCAGGGGCAGCGCGCGGGCCACAGGGGCAGGCGCGGCTGCAGGGGCAGCACGGTAGCAGAGGCGAGCACGGCTGCAGGGGCAGCACGGTCGTAGGGGCGAGCACGGCTGCAGGGGCAGCGCGGTCGCAGGGGCAGCGCACGGGCTGCAAGGGTCGCGACAGTGAGAGCTAGGGGCGCCGGCGTGCTGGCTACTGTGTAGGGCGTGGCGCTACCACTAGGCGGAACGGTGGGCCCATGTAGGAACGGTTCCTACTCTGATAACATGTCAAGAATAGAACTAGGATTGAATGAGTGAACTAGGAAAGAGGTGAGTACAAGTAGGGGAAACCTAACCCTAAAGTGTTGTACTCACTAAGGAGTGACCCTACTGTAGCCTAGAGATACAATTGTAATTTGACATATCGGTGGGCCCAGCTTCGGCCCGGTGAAGTCTGCACTTAGGGTAGGGCGCCCCTCACTAGCTATGCTTGTATGCAGTTAAGGGGGGATGTCAGAATTTGCATTTCTATGTATAACTGCATATTAGCCTAGTTAGTGTAGTATCTATTTCATTGTTTGTGGTATACCCCCTTTGGCCACCTTCCCTTGCCCTATATCTTGTATCGCTCTCCATAGTCAAAGCCCTCCTTTCTTGGCCAAACATCCTCTCTCTTCCTAAAACCTAGTTTATCATAAACCTACTATTCTAACAAGGTACCGGTAGTTTCATGTAAACCGCCTGGTTTTATAGAGGCTATCTTGGGGCTCATGTGATGTTTTTGCGTTTTTTTATGACTAGAATTCTTCACTTGCGAATATAGGGTAACACGGTAATGAAACATGTCATCAAATATTTAATTCTCATCCCATTTCAAACCGGAGAGGCATAGCGCTGACTTTGTTTGTATGGTAATTCAAGTCTCGCCCTATAGCGGGTTTGCCTAATGTGTCTCTCCGCCTCAGCTGTACAATTTCCGCCCACATTGCCTTTCTCCCATCATCTTGACGTTGCATGCTATCACTTGACTATCACGAGATCGGATCGGACGGTTCTGAAGTCTAGGAGCGCGATTCCCGCCTAAAAGTGTGGCGGCTAGCCGTCAAGCTCAACAGAAGCGCCGCGTATCTCGACCATTCATGCTTCGACGAGGATAACTCACATAGCTGCGATACCATCCGATATAGTATCTCGACGTTCAAACTGCGACGATTAAGAAAGGTTCAGCGAACTTGACATGCACGATTTGGAGTCGTCGCAAGGAGTATGGCTCCTCTGGAAAGTCTTTGCAGGGAAGCTCCACAGCTGCGACAGTCATGCAGTCGCACAGCGAGACTCATCGCACGGAAATCGCACAACTGCGGAATTCATCTCAGGTCATCAGGGAAAATCAAAAGGTCGTCGCGAGGGAGCGTGGCATGCACGATGTGCGATGAATTGGTTCCAAAAAAATCGCGAAAGCAATCGTACAGCCCTATCAGATTCAAGGTTGGTTTGAGTGAGCTTAGTTCTGTCGCCGCTCGCCACCACGCCTCGTGCATGCCCTTCGCAGCTTCTCTCCCTTCCTCACGCCTACCCAGGATTCTTTTAACGCTGACACGTCAGCTGTGATAGGACGTGATCTGGCTTCACGCCTAACCCATGCTCTGAGAATACTCGAAAACACGCCTAGTGCGTTGCCTCACGCCTTGTATTACTCCTTGTTCGGACTGCTTCCCGTGACTGCCGCCTCTTTCGGCCATCGATTTGCTCCAAATGTCGTCGCACGGAAGGCGAAACCGCTTCAGGGTTACCACCCACAACGACACTAGAGCATGGCAGCGTACGAACAGGTAATCTAGACGGGGATGCGAGACAGCCGCATGTTACCATGTAGCACCCGGGTTCGCCGTTTCGTTCGACCAGCATCCGGTCGCTCCCCTCTCCCCACAAACTCCTCTGTTCCCCCTTCCGAACCTCATTTTCCCCCTCCTCGCTCCCTCTTACCTCGCGCTCCGCCCACACTCCCCTCTTCCCTTGCTTTGTTCCCTCGCCATCTCCCGCTTCTTTCAGTCTGTCCTCTTTCGCCCCAGACAATATTTTGTTGTTGTCGTCCTCTTGATTCCTGTTCCTTTTTCTACTCTTGCAGCTTGCTGCACCGCCTCTCGCATCCCTCTTACTGCTCAAGCTCGCTGCTGCTTGCTCCTCCATCTCCTTCTCCCTCGTTCTTTCCTGTCGTACGCTGGCTGCTGCTCAGCTGATACCTGACTGACGCTCATGGGTCGGACGGTGGGAGTGGTGGTGGGGGTAGCAGGGCTCGCAGCGGCTCTGCTTGCCACGTGGCTCACCAGATGGTTGCTCGTGGTGGTTCCGAATGATGAATCGCATTCCAGCCAGCACTTGCAGACTGTAAGTTCCCAAGTTACCTTTGGCGTATGAAATCTCAGTCTAGTCTCTGTCAAGAGGCTCGTAGTTGCAGCTCTGCTTGCCACGTGGCTCACCAGGTGGATGCTCGTGGTGGTTCCGAATGATGAATCGCACGCCCTGCCAGCCAGCACCTTGCCATCTGATGCGATCCCATTCCATCCTATGCATCTGATGTAGCTGTCATGCCCAAGCTTCCATTTTCTGCTATCTAGCCACCTCATGCCATGAATTGGATGCATGTGATGCTGGTGTATACTCCGCAATGTGAATCAATTTCATTCTGATGCAGACATATGAACCGTCCTGATGCAAAGCTGTACTCCGCTTCGCGCAAGTGTGGCATCAATCCACCTCCCTGCTCACCTCACCCCACCCACCCACACCATGCATCTTTCCTAACTTTCTGCTGTCATTTGCAGGTCCCCCAGCTGGCATATGCACCTTGCTCTACGCCAGAACTGAAGCCTTTTGCACAAGAAACCAAGCCATTGGCGCATTTTCCATTGAGCCTGCCTGGTGTAAGTGCTGTCAATGGTCAGATGTGTTCTCTGTCAGAAGGCTCCTCACATCATGCCCTAGCCATATTGCCTCCTGGTTCTAGTGCCGTGCAACAAGACGATTGTAGTTTTTATGCAACACCATGATGACTTGACAAGTGCATGGCCTGATGAAGCATAATCGGTATATTGCCAAAATGGCCGGTTAAATATTTCTGGCTTTTTCCCCTGCATTTGTTTCACAGCAATCTCCAGCCGTGTGTGCAGCCAGGACATGCCATATCCACCCATCGTTGCAGTGAAGTGACCGAATAGCATTTTTTCTTGCTACTCCTCCCTCCCTCTTCTGCGTGCACACACATTCCATCTTCCTTTCCAGCCCACTGACAGCACCACCACGCACTTTGGTGTCATAACACTCTTATCCTACCTTCAAGAAATTCATCACACGGCCATGGCTAGTCAGCCTATCAGGGGACTGTTAACTCACCTTCAGCATGCTCCTTATTCGGCCATGGCTCATCAAGTTCTGATGGTATGTATGTGGATGCGGGATTGTTGATGTTTCTGTTGGCAGCTGTTGGTGCTGCCCTATTATTAATTTTCCTGTGTGTGAGTGGAACTGCAGTAGAGTTGCGCAACATTTAACATTTGGAGCAGAGTAAATGCCTTGAATGTTTTCAAGAAGCCTCGCCTGGATCTCTTGCGGTTGATTTTTCCCGTTTCTATTCGTCCCATTGGTGCATGGTTCAAATACATAGCTGCTTCGAGGATGGTTTCCGCATTTATCGTGGCTTCCATTTTTTCTTCTCCACACGACTTAAAATCTCCCAATCTCTATATCAAAACTACGCCACGCTTTGTAGATGACCGCGATGTACATTGCTGGCCTGGCACGGCTCTCTGTGCTCTACTCCGGTGCGCTCTCACGTGTCTCGTGCAAGTGAGCACATCCTTTTCTCAGCGACTCAAGTAACTCTTGTTTTTCTACTATATCAAAACTCCCTTCGCTCCGCAGATGACCGCAATGTACATTGCCGTAACTGCTCTCTGTGCTCTACTCCGGTGGGCTCGCACGTGTCTCGTGCAAGTGGCCTTCATTCAGCGACCCAAAACGGGGCAGGAGAGGGTAGTGGGAGCAGTGGAGCGTGAATTGAGTGAGCTCAAGTGTCGTTTGCTGAAGCTGGAGGGTGAAAAGGCAGACACAGAGAAGGCAGCTGCAGAGAAGGTTGGTCATTTGGAGGAAGCAATGAAAGAGGGGTTTGCAGCAGTGAGGGGAGAAGTGGCAGCAGTGAAGGGGGAGTTGGCAGCTTGGAAACGAGAATTGGCGTACGGATATTTTGCGGACAGGAAGGTGCATGAGGTGAGGCCCGTGAGGGGCGATGTGAAGCAGAATTTCGGTGAAGTGGTGCGCAATGCGCTCCTTAAGTTGCAGCAGCAGGGTCATGCGCTCATCATGCAAGCAGGGGAGTGGATGCCCTCGTGTTGTGGGCCGCCTCAAAAGCAAAAGCAGAGTGGCGCTTCCACTATGCAAGCAGAGGGGTGGCGATCGACAATTTTTGGGGCGACTCAAAGGCAGAGTGGTCCATTCAGCGTGCGAGCAGAGCAGTGCAGGTCCTCGGTGTTTGGGTCTCCTCGAAAGCAAAAGCAGAGGGGTGCTCCCACTGAGCAAGCGGAGGAGTGCAGATTGTCGTGACTCCCGGCTCTTGACTTGAGGCATGACTGGATGACTTGCAAATAGTTTTATGGGAAGTGAGTTGCTCTGCTAGGGAAGGAAGGGAGGGGTGCAGTGCAGGCGACAATGCACGGAACGGGCAGCTTATCATTTGTGTGCTGGTTGTAAGGAGAAATGATTTGGATGAGCTGCTAGGAAGGCAGGCAGGGAGTACTCGTGCAAGTGCAACCAATAGAGAGGGCTCCGCTATAGCTGGTTCTCGTGTGCCAGAAGTGTGAGTTGGAAGCCTGTAGCAGCTCATGCACTAGACTTCGATGAATGCTTTTGTTTTTTCACGTAGACTCAAAGGTAGTAGAATAATTGAAATCATTCCATCTCATCCGCTGGTGTAGACCCTCTTGGACCGTATGTGATATTCTTGCGATGAAAAACAGAAATCATCAATGCAAATTCAGTAGTCATCATTAGAGCCTTGGATATTTTTATTCAGGCTATGCATTTCATGCAGTAAATGTCGCTCTATAGCGGGTAGAGCCGAAATCTTCGTCTTGTCTTCGGTTGCACCCTTCCTTCCACCCATTGCAAGATCCGATGGTTACTATCAGTTGCGAGTCGTGACCACCCTAAACGCGATCCGCACCTAACCCTAAGCGGCGGACAGGAGCGCAGATTAGTCTGTACACGAAATACCACGTGTATCAAGCCTGCCATGCTGTGCGCTCGTTGGAACATACGGGTGCTGGAGGAAACCTTTCCTCCCAACTCCCCGTGTTGGAGGAGGTGTTGGAGAATTGCTGACCGCGGGCAAAAAAACTAAAACGAGAACCTTATGGGTCACACAGTGCGAGCTCCAGAAGTCGATTCGCCACCGTTCATGCATCAACCAAGACGGAATTGATGGAAGCATATAATGTTTCATTTGAGTGGACGCAACCCTGTCAGTCGCCACCACGCCTCGTGCATGCGGTTAGCAGCTTCCCTCCCTTCCTCACGCCTAACCCATGATTCTTCTAACGCTGACACATCAGCTGTGACAGAGACGTTTTCTGACGTTTTTCTTACGCCTAATTCTCAAAGAGCACCCTCAGTGCGTGGCCTCACGCCTTTGAGTGATTCCCTGCTCAGACTGCTTTCCGTGCCTGCCGCCTACCAGGGGATTTTTGGGCGCCGATTTGTTCCAAATGTCGTCGCAGAGAAGACGAAACGGCTTTGTGGTTACCACCCATCAAGACAGTCGCATGGCTGCGTACGAACAGGTAATCTAGACGGGGATGCGAGACAGCCGGCATGTTACCATATAGCGCCCCGGATTCGCCGTTTCCTTCGACTAGCATCCGTTCACTCCCCCTCTCCCCGCAAACTCCTCTCATTCCCCCTCCGAACCTCATTTTCCCCCTCCTCGCTCCTCTTTCCTCTCACTCCGCCCACACTCCCCTCTTCCCTGGCTCTGTTTTTTCGCCATCTCCCGCTTCTTTCAGTTTGTTCTCTTTTGCCCGAGACAATATTTTCTTGTTGTCGTCCTCATATTTCCCGATCCTCTCTACTCTTGCTGCTTGCTGCGCTACCTCTCGCATCCCTCTTACTGCTCAAGCTCGCTGCTGCTTGCTCCTCCATCTCCTTCTCCCTCGTTCTTTCCTGTCGTACGCTGGCTGCTGCTCAGCTGTTACCTGACTGACGCCCATGGGTCGGACGGTGGGAGTGGTGGTGGCGGTAGCAGGGCTCGTAGCAGCTCTGCTTGCCACGTGGCTTACCAGGTTGCTCGTGGTGGTTCCGAGTGCTGAATCGCACGCCAGCAGGCACCTAGAGAAGGTAAATTAAGAATTCTCATATGTATGAGAGCGATCTGGAATGGTGATGGTGTTAGCAGGGTTGGTAGCAGCTCTGCTTGCCACGTGGCTCACCAGTCACCAGATATATGCTTGTGGTGGTTTCGATTGAGGCTTTGCACGCTTCGTTACATGGCTCGTAGTAGCAGCTCTGCTTGCCACGTGGCTCACCAGATGGATACTCGTGGTGGTTTCGAGTGATGAATCGCACTCTAGCCAGCACTTGCAGGCTGTACGTTACCTTGTACACTCCTTGTTGTTTTTTTATTTTTGTTACACTTCCTTGATGTCTTCCAATCTGTGCTGTACCTTCTGTCTTTGATGTCGCAACGAGTTGTATCCACCTGATTTTTCTCTTGTCATGAGCTTGGCCTAAGTTCTGTTTTCACCTGATTTTCTGGCTCATGTCATGGCGCCCTCCAGCCTTTCCGTATTCACAGTGCACCAACATGCACTTGCGTCTGCCCTGCTGCTACCTCAAGCCTTGCCGTGCCATGCCATCCCATGTCATGCACGTGGTGCCACATCAGCCATCCCCTGCGCACTGCCTCTAGCCCATGCCATGTCATACCACGCTTAGCCATACCATTTCATATCATGTCCCAGTTGGTCCACGTGATCATGTTTCTTGTTTGTTTGTTTGCATGTTTGTTATTTTCTTTTCCGCTCATCGCTTGCAAGTTGGAGAATTATCCTGATGCATGGCAAAGTGACAAAGGTCCTGCGTGTCTCACGTCGATTAAGCTAACACCTTGCGTTATTCCTAATTTCTTGCCAATGGCCCCTTGCCGCTCCCACAGCTGGCAAATACCTCTGCGCAAGCACCCGAGCCATTGGCACAAGAATCCAAGCCTTTGGAACACTCATTCAAGCGCACACCATGCGTTGTTCTCAACCCAACCTCCTCGTGCCTCTTGCAGCTCCCTCAGCTAGCAAATATCTCTGCGCAAGCACCCGAGCCGTTGGTGCAAGAAGCCAAGCCTCTGTTGGGCCTTCCTGGTGTAGTACAAGCTGTGATTAAGTGATCATGGCTTGGCTTGTACACATGGTATCAATTGTGTGACTGGCCAGGCTCCGCTCTTACCCTAACATCATGACTTATACCGTACATGATAGTGAGTTATCTGGCTTCGGTTTTATGCGAGAAGACGAGCTTAGCTTAGCGTCAAGTGGAACGTGTCAGCCTCAGTGATGGCTGTTCGTGTGCCTGGGTAAGTATGACCTGACAAGTGCCTGAGTAAGTGCACATGAAATGTGCCTGATAAACACACATCATTGCATGTTTTTTTCTTGGCAAGTAACTGATTATGCGTCGCAGAATGCTGTATGACTGACATCCGATTTTGCTGCTGCGAAATCTGGCAATCTCGCCACCTCCTTTCATTCTTCACCTGTTTTTCTTCTGGCAATTGTGTAGCCAGCGCACACCATGTTCATCGTTGAACTGAACTCTCACCATTCCTCCTGCTCTCCCCCATCTTTCGTATGCATGTGCCACTTTCCTCCCAGCCCACAGGCAGTACCACCCAACCTGGAACCAAGACGTTCCTATCTTACCTTCGACATGTTCCTTACTCGGCCATGGCTCGTCAGCCTGTAAGGAGACTGTTGCCTTACATTCAGCATGTTGCTTCTACAAGCATGGCTCATCAGGTTCTAATGGTATGTAGATTCGGAATTGTTTGTTCTTTGATTGGCAGCTGTCGCTTCTCCTCTATCACTCGTTTGCTTGTGTGACAACATTTGAAAATTGCAGCAACATTGCAGCACAACATGTCTGTTCCAGCATCATTTTGCCGGAATTCATGCCTTTGTTATCGAGTTTCCGAGTCCATTGTCTTCCCTTGATGCATGGCTCCAAAATATTGGCTAGTTGTACGTACACTTTGCATGGTTGTGACTTTCCAATTCTAGGATGATGTTTGTTTGTGTGTTTTTGGGTTATTTCTAGGGCAAAATACCAACAACAAAGCTTTGCTCCTGACTTGCCAGTTGGTTCAAGCTGTTGTTCTTGCTCCGCTCTTCCATTCTGCACTTTTGTTCCCTTCCCACATGTCTGCTGTACTTAGTTGAGAGACAAAATCTCCCTGTTTTATCTTGAAATTACCCTTTGCTCCACAGGTGTCCGTGCTGTGCATAGTCGGCGCTGCTCTCTGTGCCCTCCTCTTGTGGCCTCGCACACGGCTTTTGCTAGAGAGAAAATCGATCTATCAGCGACTCAAAACACGGCAGACATTGAAGGAGGGTAATGCAATGGGAGCAGACGACATTGGTGAGGGTGGCCGTGGCTTGAACGGCGAGGTGGGGAGGAGGAGAGGGGACGAGGGGAGGAGCGAGGTGCATGAGCGTAAGGATGAGTTGAAGGGTGCGCTAAAAAATGAGTTGAAGGCTGAGCTTAAGGATGAGTTGGCGATTGCTTTGAAGGGTGAGTTGAAAAATAAGTTGACGGTTTTATCAGCTGACATCTGTGCTGGTGTGGAGGAGAAGGAGAAAGTGGTGCTGGGAGCAATGGAGGGTGATTTGGGTGAACTGAAAGGCTGTTTATTGAAGGTGGAGGGTGAAATGGCAGCAGGGAGGGCAAAGGTAGCTGCAGAAATGGCAACTGGAGGGAAAGTGAATCACTAGGAAGCATTGGGGGAGGGCTTCGCAGCAGTCAAGGGAGAAGTTGCCTCAGTGAAGGGGGAAGTTGCCTCAGTGAAGGGGGAAGTTGCCTCAGTGAAGGGGGAAGTTGCCTTTGTGAAGGGGGAAGTTGCCTCAGTTAAAGAAAAGGTAGTAGCAGTAAAAGGGAACTTGGCAGCAGTGAAGGGCGAGTTGGCTGACCAGAATGTCCGTTTGTTGGAATCAGATGCAGAAAGGGAAGTGGGTTTCGCAGCAGTGAAGGTTGAAGCAGCAGCAGTGAAAGAAAAAGTAGCAGCAGTGGAAGGGGAGTTGGCTGACCAGAAGGTCCGTTTGTTAGCATCAGAGGCAGCAAGGGAAGAAGGCTTTGCAGCAGTGAAGGGGGAAGTGGAAGCAGTGAAGGAAGAGGTAGTGACAGTGGGAGAGAACTTGGCAACCGTGAAGGAGAAAGTTGCCGCAGTGAAGGGGGAAGTGGAAGCAGTGAAGGAAAAAGTAGCAGCAGTGGAAGGGGAGTTGGCTAACCAGAAGGCCCGTCTGTTGAGATCTGAAAAGGAGAAGAAGGCTGTGGAAAGGGACGTGGATGGACGGGTGAAGCGAGACGAAGAGTTGGAACCTCATAAGGTTGCATTAGTTCGCGATGTTTTTCAACTGGGTGGATCGACTAGCAAGGAGCAAGTGGAGCAGTGCAGGCCATCGTGATTCGTCGTGAGTGAGTTGCGTTGCGACTCAAGAGGTTTGAAGAAAGAGAGTTGGAATAAAGACTCGCATGCACTGACCGGTTCTGAAGTCATGTGCAGGGTGAAGATGAGGGACAAGTGGGGGATATGGCGTCTTGCTAGTGATTGGCTGGTATAGTGGATGCATATGAGCGTCGATGTCCTTCCATGGTGGGATGTCCTGCTCGCGTAGCATCCTGTCGGGGAGTTTTAAATCATGTCGAAATGGGGCTCTGTTTTCATACTAGTACTCACAAGGTGCTCTTGTTTTCTACCTTGTTCAATCTTTCATTTCTACCTCTGTACTTGTTCAGAGTGTCGTTACAGTCAATTGAAATTCCTGGTGTGTTATTGGGATGGTTCATAACGCGTTTCAGCCGATCACAAACGCAACCCGCCGTTCTCACGTGATCTCATTCCTCTGATCTGGTCTCCACTGCTCGCCCACTATTCTCCGCATTAGCTAATTCCCTCGCTTCTGGGTCCTTTCTAGCTAACTTTTTATAGCTACCTCCCATTCGATCTCTCAATCTTGTGTCCGCGTAGCTGTTGCTTTCTCTCCCGCAGCTACGTTTTTCGACTCTCTTAGTAACTCAATTGTGGAGTGTTACCTGCGACTTGTCAGCAGCTAAGTAACTTGTTCGATCCCGTCAGCATCAATGGTGCAGCTGTGGTGGGCTGTAGCAGCAGCCGCAGTGCCAGTCGTCTTTATCCGCAACCTTGTGCGAAACCGCGACGGCGACTCCGATTCGCGAAACGACGCCTCGTCGTCGCGGCGAAAAGGCGGCAAGCGCGGCGGCGTCGCTGTCGCAGACGACGCGTCCGTCGGCGGCGACTCGTTCGTGTGCGAGCGCGTGTGCGCGTCGCGAAGGCTCTTAAATCGAATGGGGCCGTTCTCCAAGGACCCGACGCCGAACACGTGTGTGACTGTATGCGGAGTGTCTGACGTGGACTCGTGCACGGAAGCGTGTCGGCGCGTGGTGTGCGTGAACCCGCACCACGTGCCCAACTGGAACGACAGCTGCATGCGCCGCTGCCAGGACGAGTGCCTCCGCGGCCTCGCGCGCTGATTGGAGGAGCTCGCTGATTGGACGAGTTGCCTTCACGGCCGTAGTGATTGGCTGTGCGGTGCAGTGGACACTAGGCCATGGAGATTACACGACGGCGTGCAACGCGGGGTTTCAGCGCAAGGCTGTGCAGGAAGGTGAATCAGCCAATGTGTGTTGGTCAGGGTTGTGTTGCGCGGGATGCACGGGATGCTGGTGGGAGGAGGAGCAACCAATCAGGGAGATGCAGTGCAGCAGCAGCAGTGTAGAGATTACCTTACGGGATTCAAGTGCGGTAGAGTCGGATGCTACGGTAGGAGCATAGATTCGGTGAGATGAGAAGGGATGTGGCAGCAGCAGCGGAAGAAAGGACATGATGCAACAGCACTCAGCACGCCTCATGTGCATCACTTCATCTGTATACATTTGCTCTGTCAGTCAGTAGTGTGTTGGGGGGCGATCAGCTTGCAGCAGGGATGAATGCTAGGAGGGAGGAAGGTTAGGTATACCTAACAGATGTTAAGGCATGGTCATTTGAAGAAGGATATCATACCGGATAGTCTCCTTTGCATGATTTAGAAGTTAGCTCAGCAGCAGTCATTTTGGTTCTGACATTACAGAAGTTGACTAGGAGTACTAACCCTGAACGGAACGACCAGGTGAAGTTTCTGTCTACACCTAGCTGGATGGTGAATGGTTGAGGATGATTGCCTTCTGTTGACTCATGTCAGCTCACATGACACGTCACACACACATTGCTTACACAAAAAGCAGCTGTTACCTACTGAGTGGAGTTGAAGTGAAAGTTGTTGGAAACAAGTGATTTAAAGCCTGCATGCAAAATAGTGACCCCCGTCCCAACTTGAAAGAGGTGTTGCGACAATATTTTTTGAAGCGAAGAGAGAATGAAACAAGTCTGACAAAACACTGCTTGAAAAAAAACGTGCGGGCAGAGTGAGCTCATGTGATTGGCTCTCGCCAAAATGGGATGTTGTGGCTCCCGCCAGAATGGACTTTCCCGCTCACATTTCTGCGACCTGCACTTGCACGACCGTTCCCTGGCGATGGTTTCCATCGCCCTGGCGATGGGTTCCATCGCAAGGCCAACTTCAATATCAAGCTGGTCCTGAGTTCATAACTCACTGATTTCTACTCCCTTCCTCGCTATTTTTTTTTCCACACGCTTAGTATAGCGGAAAGCATATGTGCTTGTGTCATAGGCACGGAATTATCGACGGCTGCGTTTATTCGCACGAGTGCGTGATTTCGTATTACGTAGCCTAGTAGCGCAGTGCTATTTTTCCCGCTAGTAGCACAATCGTCAACCTCCGCGTCGCCGTCGGCCGATGTCGCCTTTCCCTCGCCATTACCTTCGCCCCCCCTTTACCCGTCGCACTTCGCGTACCCTCCCCGTTGTCAGAATCCCAACCACTAGACCATTGGGATAAAATGGCTTGTTAAGTAGCGGGTCAGTGCGCCAATAACCCCCCAGGACAACGAGCCTGTAACCCTTCCCTAGGATCAATCGGGGATCACCAGTGGACCTCTGACACCCCCCCGCACTGGGATGCCCGAAGTGCACACACTGGGATTCGAACCCGAGACCTTCGCTCTGATACCATGTCAGAATCCCAACCACTAGACCATTGGGATAAAAGGGCTTGTTAAGCAGCGGGTCAGTGCGCCCATAACCCCCAGGACAACGAGCCTGTAACCCTTCCCTAGGATCAATCGGGGATCACCAGTGGACCTCTGACACCCGTTTCCCCTCCCATCACCCATTTCGTTACATTCTCGCTCGCCCTGAAACGCCCTCTCGTCGCCCTTCCTTTCTCCCCTCCCGTCACCCACCTCGTCGCCTATGCGCTCGCCTCGAAATCGAGGCGCACTCTCGTCGCCTACCACGTCTCCCCTCCTATTACCCACATCATCGTCGTCACCCTAAGCCCGCAATGCCCTCTCGTTGCGCGCAGTCGACTCTCCTCGCCCATCGCCCTGGCGCTGGCCTTGAAACGCCCTCGCGGCTCCCTTCTTCACTCCCCTCCCATTACCCACTCCGTCTCCTTTGCGCTCGCTCTGAGCCGCCCTCCCGTTGCCTATCATCTCTCCACTCCCATCCCGTCGCCCTCGTGTTCCCCTCTCATCTCGCCCTCGAAACGGGCTCTCGTCCAGTAGCCCTCATTGTTTCCGTCGCCCTCTCTCTCCTCTTCCCTCACATTGTTTCTCTTTGTTTTTTCCCTCCTTTTGGTTTTCTCAGCGTTTTTGCCGCCCTCTCTCAGGCCCAAAGTCTTCATACGCAGCGAAAATTATCCTAACCTCTCTCGCTCTTTGCAGAACCTTCACGAGCTGCCACCGCGCTTGTGCTTGTCCCCTTCCCCCGCCATCGCGCTCACGTTCTCCCCTTCCCGTCGCCATCGCGCTCACGTTCTCCCCTTCCTGTCGCCATCGCGCTCACGTTCTCCCCTTCCCGTCGCCATCGCGTGTTAGAATAGCAGGCTAAAACGATAAACAGGAAAGAGAGGTTTTTCACTAGCAGCAGTTGAGATATATATAGGAAACCCTAATTGGGTTGTACTCGTTATAGAGTACCCCACTGCAGGCTAGACAAACATCACATTCTGACACACCCCCATAGTCAAAGTGGGGTACAATCAACACAACAAGCAAGCAGAGCAATAGTTCACACGGATAAGCAAAGCTAGAGGCTATCACAGAGGGCAAGTGAGGAGGAGGAGAAACTGTGGGGGCGAGAAGATGCGAGACGACGGCTGAAGCTGCAGACACACGGGCAACAGGAGTGCGCAGCACTGTCGCTACCAGGCTAAACCCGGACTACACGGCGACAGGCGCAGCTGGCTCGCTGTGCTCCTAGGAGTGCTCACACTGTGGCTACCGGGCGCAGAGCCCCGGACTACACGGCCACAGGGGGTCGTGGCTCTCTGGATACCAGGAGTGCTCACACTGTGGCTACCGGGCGCAGAGCCCCGGACTATACGGCCACAGGGGGTCGTGGCTCTCTGGATACCAGGAGTGCTCACACTGTGGCTACCGGGCGCAGAGCCCCGGACTACACGGCCACAGGGGGTCGTGGCTCACTGGACTTCAGGCGCTGCGGACGACAAGACGACTGCCTCCACACAACTTCCCCCAGCTGTCCCACACCCCTTTCACACACTCCCTGCTGCACCTCTAGCACTGCTCACACGCCACCCCCCTCGTACCACTCCGACGGCTCCAACACATCCACCCCCCTCAGCGACAGCTGCAGCAGTGGGAGACGGAGGAGGAGGAGGAGCAGGGGATGGCTCACACACCCGGCACCCCCATACTCTCCACCCCCAAACCCTAACACAGGAGCGCGGGCAGCAGCGGGGGTGGGGCGTGGTCAGAAGCTCGGGACGAACGGCACGCGGGCTGCCCGGGCCGCGCGCGGGCCTGGCGCAGCCCGTACGGGCCGCGCGCGGGCTGTACGGGCCGCGCGCGGGCCTGGCGCAGGTCGCGCGGGCCGCGTCGGGCGACGGGGGGCGACGCGACGGTCGACAGGGGGCGACGCGCGGTTCGACGGGGCAGAAAACCGCCGCGCGCCCCGAGCGCGCGGCGGGAAGAAAAAATCGCTGCGCGCCCGGAGCGCGCGGCAGGCAGGAAACAGCACGCGCCCGGGGCGCGCTACAGGCAGTAGAGCAGCGGAAGCATCGGATGGGGCCCACCCACAGGATCGACCCAGGAGGGTCGACCTGCTCTGATAGCATGCTAGAATAGCAGGCTAAAACGATAAACAGGAAAGAGAGGTTTTTCACTAGCAGCAGTTGAGATACATATAGGAAACCCTAATTGGGTTGTACTCGCTATAGAGTACCCCACTGCAGGCTAGACAAACATCACATTTTGACATCGCGCTCACGTTCTCCCCTTCCCGTCGCCATCGCGCTCACGTTCTCCCCTTCCCGTCGCCATCGCGCTCACGTTCTCCCCTTCCCGTCGCCATCGCGCTCACGTTCTCCCCTTCCCCCGACATCGCGCTCACGTTCTCCCATCTTCGCACCACCTTCGTGCTCATGGTCTCCCCTTCTATCACCTTCGCGTTCAAAAACTCCCCTTCCTTCTCCCAAGCACCACACGTTCTCCCCTCCCTTCGCCATCGCGCTCACGTTCTCCCGTCTTCGCATCGCCTTCGGACGCAGATTCTCCCCTCCCATCTCCCTCGTGCTCACGTTCTCGTCTCTCATCGCCTTCGCGCTCGCACCTCCCGTCCCTTCCTGTTGCCCTCGTGTTCTCCCGTCCCGTCCCGTCTCCTTCGCGCTCGCACCTCCCGTCCCGTACCGTCGCCCTCGTGCCCTCCCCTTCCCAATGCCCCTCCCATCACCCAAGCAGTAACCTTTGCCCCCTTATTCTTGTTAGAATGTAGAACTGAACGAGAATGTGTGAAACTAGGCAGCAGGGTGATACAAGTAGGAAACCCTAGCAATGTTGTACCCCCTAAGGCTAAACCCACTATAGCCTACACAATATGAACATGTATAATGTTTGACATAATTCTCTCTCCTCGCGTCCGTGTTTCCGTCGGCCTCTCACTCTCTTCTTCCGACTCCTTGACTCACTTTGTTTATCACCATCTCCTGTTTGTTTTTCTCGCTTTTTGCTGAAGGCTCAGGCGCTGCCGATGCAAGTGTTTGTCTCTGCATGTGGAATTCCTTCGACGTACGAACTAGGAATTTGAATGTGGGATGAATGTGAATGTGGCACGAATGTGAATGTGCCTACGACACATTTGCCCTACCCTGCGACCAGATTCCTCGATCAAAATCGGAAAGATGGTTCAGTGTCTGGAAAAAAGAAAAATTGCAACACATTGCACCCTACAAACAAAACCTCTGAATCAGTATATCAAGTGGACCCAACTAGAAGGGGGGGGGTCACTATTTTGCATGCGGGATTTAAGCGCTTCTGCTGTGTCGAAACATCAAGTCTTAAACGAAGCGAAGCACAAACGAAACATCAGCGAGTCAACCATCGGAGGTTGACAACTGAAGCAACCGCTGGAGGTTACGCGAAGGTCAAAGGTCAGCGACCTTTGACTTGACAAATACAGCGCGACAGCAAGGACAAACAACTGACTCGATACAGAGCAGTTGCCCGAGTCGTCACTGTATCGAACCGCAACAGCAATAGTAAAACAGTTATTAGCTGTATCTCTTCATATTCCTTGTACTCTTATAAAACCTTGTATCTTCTTGTTCTAATCAATCTACTTTGCCCTCACATACTAGCGCAAGGTGGTTCAAGGACTTATCATTAAACTCTTCCGCTATTACAACTTCCTACTCAGAGTTTAGCCTTGCAAAGATCCTAATGGCTTTTCTCAGCCCAACAAAAGTATGCAGTGAGATTGTGACATTTGCAAACCACTCAATACCGTGTGAATCACGAATTTGACCGCACTGAACTTTTTGCAGAGGTACCCCACCTTACCTTGTGCTGCCAAGCAGCCACGCTGATGAGTGAAGGTCCAAGGCAGCGCCTAGTCAGCTAGTCCGCTTTCCTGGCAGCGTCACGACACGACTCACGAAGCAGTCAGCAGCACCGCCAAGACGTTACTTTTCCGTCTTCACAGCGCCTCTCGCGCAGCATTTCCCGCGAATTTTATAGTCGCTGTAAGAGTTGTAGAAATACTGAAGAAAAACAAGGTTTCATTAGTGCGGTAGCATGGCGGTCGTTCCGCTGCTTTCTACGTGCGCGCGTCTCGTCCCTTCATCCTCACACCCAGCGCCTGCCCTCTGCCTCTCAACCGCTCCCAACCACTCTCTCCGTCACCGTCTTACCGTCAGCCTCTGCCCCTCGCCCACTCTCTCCACTAGCAAGCGGTTCCCGACTGTTCTCAAAAGCGCTGATTTGATTCTCTGTAGGTCTCTTTCGCGGTCTAACTCCTTCGCTCGTGCGCCAAAAGCGCTATTCTTAGTTCCCCATCGCTCTCGTCTAGTGGCCGTTCGATCTAGGACGTTCGACGAGCCGCGGGAGAGATCGGGAGAGGAGCGGGGGGAAGAACGATGGGGGAAGGAGAGAGGGGAAGAGAGTTGGGGGGAGGATGGGGCGGATGATGGATGGGGGAAGGAGAGGGCGAAAGGGGGATGGCGGGAGCGGAAGGAGAGGGAAAGATCAGCGGAAAGCTGGGGGGAGCGATTGGCGGAGTGGGCTGGGGGGGAAAGCGATGGCGGAGGGTCAGGGGAGAGATCGGCGGAGAGATGGGGGGAGCGGAGGGGTGGGGGAGGCGGGAGGGGCGCGCGGGGAGGACGAGGGGGGCGGACAGAGAGAGGTGGGCGCGGGGGCAGGGGACAGGGTTCAGGGTTTAGCCGTTATGGGGCGAATCGGTTTGATGAGGGGCGCGGAGGGGTTGGGGGGAGATGGCGGGGGGAAAGGGAAGGGGAAAGGTCGGAGTGGCAAGGGGAAGGAAGGGGGGACGGCGGAAGAGGGGAGAGCGGATGGGGGGAGGGCGGAGAGGGTTCTGGGTTTGGATCAAGGTTTGGTGGTAGGAGTTCGCGAGAGAAGGTTAACAGGCGAAAGCACACGGAGCTCGCGATAGATCCCGCGCTGGTTACCAGCATTGGCGAAGAGGCGGAGGGGGGGGAGGAAGGGGGAACAGGTGGGCGGAGTGAGGGGGTGAAGGGGGAATTTGGGGAGGCGCGAGAAGGGGGAGGGGGAATGGGGCAGGGGGGAGGCGTAAGTGACTATAGAGGGCGTGATGGTAGGGAGATCGGGGGAAGGGGGAGAGGGGGAAGCGGAAGGGCTCTGGCGGGTGGGAGAGGGGGAAGGGACACGCGGCAAGGGGGGTGGGGGGGTGATGCGGAGGAGTGGGTGGAGGACGGGGGGGATTGGCGGGTGGCGGAGCGGGAGGATGACGACTGGGGGGATGACAGGGGCGCGCGGGGGGACGTGGGGAGGGCAAGGGGGGGCGGGGGAAGCTCGAGGGGGGGCAGGAGTGGCGGATGGGGAAGAGGAGGGCGCAATGGCGGAGAACAGATGGGGGTTTACGAGCAGTGGAGCAGGGGGATGAGCAAGCGGAGGGCGAAGGTTGTGGGGGGGCGAGGGGAGGGAGAGGGGGGTATGGGGGAAGATGCGGAGGAGAGGAAGGCGGGGAGGGAGGGGGAGGAGGGAAGGGCGGGGAAGGAGGGGAAAGAGGGGAAGGAGGGGAAAGAGGGGAAGGAGGGGAAGGAGGGGACAGAGGGGAAGGAGGGGAAGGAGGGGAAGGAGGGGAAGGAGGGGATTGGAGGAGAGGGGGAGCAGTCGGATGAGGAGGGGGGAAGGCGGTGGTGGCAACGGGGGGAGAAGTATGTCCGGGGGGAGAAGAATTTGAGGGAGGGGGGGGATGTGCGGAGTGAGAGGATTGTGAAAGGGGAGAGGGACTTGCGTGGGGAGAGGGGTGAGGATAGGGGGAGCAATGAGGAGGAGAGGATGTATAAGAGGGGGGATTATAAGGGGGGTGATTCTGTGAGGAGGGATTATAAGGAGGGGGAATATGGGAGGAGGGATTACAGTGAGAGAGTGCAAGGCGAGAGGGGTTATGATAGGAGGAGCGGGTATGGTGGCAGAGGGAGGTATGAGGGGGAGGGGCGCATGGAAAGGGACAGAGGCGTGGGCGGTAGCAGAGGAGGCACGGAGAGGGGCTATGATGAGAGGAGCGGGTATGGCGGCAGAGAGAGGTACGAGGGGGAGGGGCAGATGGAACGAGACAGAGGCGTGGGCGGTAGCAGAGGAGGGATCGGTAACAGCAGAGTAGACAGGGAAGGGGGCCATGATGAGAGGAGCGGGTATGGCGGCAAAGGGAGGTACGAGGGGGAGGGGCGCATGGACAGGAGCAGAGGCATGGACCGGGAGGGCATGGGCGGGGGAAGGGGGGACATGGACGGGGGACGAGGAGATGGGGAGGAGAGGGGCGGTTATGACAGCAGGAGCATTTACACGAGGGGGGGAGGCGAGCCAAGGGGCATGGGTGCTGGGAGCAGGGGGGGTATGGGTGGGGGAAGAGGAATAGGCGGAGACAGATTGGGCAGGGAAAGGGGAGCAGAGGGAGGGAGAGGGGCAAGATGGGAGAAGGAAGGAGGCGAGAGTGCTAGAGGCACTCGGCGAGAATATGCTGAATGGGAGGAGCAGGAAGGAGAGGAAGGAGATGAGGGGAGGCGAGGAGGCGGAGGGAGAGGCAGCAGTGGTGGGAGAGGCACGTTGCGGCCGTCGTCAGCATCAGAATCAGAATCAGCAGTGTCAAGTTTACCTGCTGCGGTTCTTGAAGAGCCCACTTTGAACTGCGAGCATTTCACAAAGTAAGAAGCTTCTGACTTTTGAGTCGACTCAAAAGTCACCTCGTTACAATGGCAATCAGCAGTATCAGATTTACCTGCTGCTGTTCTCGAGGAGCCCACTTTGAACTGCGAGCATTTCACAAAGTAAGGAGCTTCTATGCTTTCATGCTCCTTCCCCACCCACCTCCCATCCCATACCCCCGCATACGTTTATGCACCATACATACATTGCTTCCCTCCCATCCACCGCGCTCTGTCTCCCTCTCCTTCCCCCCGTCTTCTATGTGACGCATAGAAGGCATAGCTGTATCTTATTACAAGGACACGGGGGAAGTAGAAGGGGGAAGAATAGAAGAGGCGATTTTTTAGTCGACTCAAAAATCGCCTCATCACACGCGGATAGAAGAGGGTTCTCATAGTTGTGGTTGTGGGAGTTGAAAGGGGTTTAATTGGTATTCTGTCCAACGTTGTTATTCCTGCTTGTATCACTTTTGAGCATTCTGGCAATGGCAACTGATACCAATAGACTAAGCTGACAAACACTTTTGAGGGTCATATAACGATCTTTTCCCACTCCCTCGCCCACTCCCACTCCTCCCCCGTCTCCCGTCATGCAGCTGCTCCGGCGGCACTCTAAATGCTGCCCTTGACCGCCGTCCCATCATCAAGGAAGCAGAGGCAATATAACCCGCTCGCTCATCACTCACCTTGCTTCTCCCCCTTCTCTCCCGCGTCTCCCTTCATGCAGTCGCTCCGGCTGCACTCTCAATTCTGAACTAGACCGCCCTCCCATCATCGCGGAGGCAAACGCGCATTAAACCGCTCTGTGGGCTCTTCTCACCCCTCTTCTACTCCCACCCTTCTCAGCAGCTGCTCCGGCTGCACCCTGAAGGCTGCCCTAGACCGCCCTCCCATCATTGCAGAGGCAGAGGCGCGTAACACCACTCATTGCTTTCCCTTTCTCCTCCCTTTCCCCCCTACACGCTCCCCGAACAGCTGCTCCAGCTGCACCCTTAATGCTGCCCTTGACCGCCCTCCCATCATCACAGAGGTAGAGAGGCATAACAATCTTTCTTCTCTCCCTTCTCCTATGCCCACTCCCCTCTCCTCTTCCCCTCTCCACCCCCATGCAGCTGCTCCGGCTGCTCCCTGAATGCTGCTTTGGACCGCCCTCCCATCATCAAGGAAGCAGAGGCGTTCTTTGAAGCCCGAGGGGTGGCGGGCTTTATGCTGCACACTGCTGATGTGGTGAGTGGTGGGAGAAAAGAGGGCGGAGAGAGAGGCTATGCGTGCATGCATGCATGCACGCTCGGCGGGCTGGCTGATCATGCATGCGTGCATACATGGATGACTTTTGAGTCGACTCAAAAGTCATCTGATCATGCATGCGTGCATACATGGATGACTTTTGAGTCGACTCAAAAGTCATCTGATCATGCATGCGTGCATACATGGATGCATGATCAGTCAAACATACCCGTTGCAAGATCTCGCGCCGTTTCTCCCTTTCCCTACCTCTCTCCCTCTTCCAGGTGGAGTGGCGCTGCAGAGCCAAGCCAGCAGTGAGAGGCACGCACTGCAGGGGAGTCGCTGGTGGGGCTGTCTTGTCCTTCATTGTCCCTATCCTCCCCCGACCTGGTCCCACTATCTCTCTCTCTCCCTCTCCCTGCAGGTGGAGTGGCGGTGCTGTGCCAAGCCAGCAGTGAGGGGAACAGCAGGGGATCCGCTGGTGGGGCTGCCTTGTCAATGTATTGCTGTCTCCTCCCCCCACCGTTTACAGGTGGAGTGGCGGTGCCGAGCCAAGCTAGCAGTCAGGGGCACTGCAGAGGAGCCGCTGGTGGGGCTGTATGCAGCACGGTCGCACGATGTGGTGGATATACCCATGTGTAGAGGTGAGGTGCAGTGAGGTACTATGTGGTAGTGTGTGGTATGGTAATATGTGGTTGTATGTGGTGTTGTGTGGTATAATGTGGTATAATGTGAATTGCAAGGAGGGAGGCTGCTGGTGGGGCTGTATGCAGCATGGTCACACGTTGTGGTTGACATTCCGATGTGCAACGGTGTGTGGTTGACGTGAGTGTGTAGTGTAGACTAGTGCTGCTACTGCACACAGTGCCGTCAGCACAAGCACGGAGGGAGGGAGACTGCTGGTAGGGTTGTATGCAGCACGGTCGCACGATGCGGTTGACATTCCCATGTGCAGAGGTGAGGTGCATTGAGGTACGATGTGGTTGTGTGCAGTCATGTGTGGTGTTATGTGGTAGTATGTGGTGTTGGGATAATTGCAGGGAGGCAATCCGCTGGTGGGGCTGTGTGCAGCGTGGTCGCATGATGTGTGGTGAATGGTCCCATGTGCAGAGGTGTGTGTGTGGTGTGGGGTGATGATGTGCGTGCTGCACCCTTGTGTTTCGTGCACTCACTCACCCATGTACACGCTTTTGTCATTGTAATGTGATTGCTGAGGCGCCTGTGATGTACCCTCCTCCGTCCCCTTACAGCATGGTGCTTTCTCTCCCCCTCCGCCTCCTTTTCTTCCCCTTACACCTATGCTGCGCTTCGTTTCCTGTTTATTGCTCCCCTCTTCTTCTCCCACTGCGCAACTCTAGGTTCTCATTCCTTCACTCTCTCACTCCCTCCACTCTTTCCCTACACTCCAGCCCACCATCCGCGCCTCAATGCTGCTGCAGCTCTCGTACGCTCAGGTGAGCTGAGGGTTGTGCATCAGTTAAAATGAGGGTTGCTTTAGGTGGATTTTGAGTGGACTCATTTGTCATTTGAGGGGACCCTTGAGCTGATACATTGTTAGCTGATTTATTATACTAGTACGCCCTGCTCCTCTCTGTTAGAATTATATTGTAGCATGCTAACACTTTTGTGACTGTACACCAAGTGTGGTGTACAGTTGTGTTGGGACTACACCCAACATTGGGTGTAGCCTTGCATATTGGGGTGCCAATTCAAACCAATTGTGGTGGAGCCCCCAAGTGCAACCCAATGGGCCATAGGTTGCCCCACTTCCCCAAGTGAGGCCAACCCAACCCAATGGGCCATAGGTTGGCCCACTCTCCTTGTGGTACCTTCCCTTCCTTCCCTTTCACCCTTCTCTTTGGTTCTATGTATACCCTAGGTTCTCTCTAATGAAACTAATGGTTTACTTTCAATCCTTCTTCTCACACTCTCCTCTCATCTCCTCTAACAGTTAGCTCATTCTATGGGTTTACATGCCCCTCTTCCCCTCCTCTCCTCTCTTCATTCACTCCACCCATCCACACCAGTAATAAAGGACCTGGGCGTAAAGGCTCTTATAACGAGGAAACTTGCTGGCTTGTTGACTGGTTGCGAATGCTGTTCTCACAAGTCCTCATCGTCTCTCTTTACTCCACCCTCCCATACCAGTAATAAAGGACCTGGGCATAGAGCCTTACGACGAGAAATAGTGCCGACTTGTTGAGTGGTTGTTAATGGTACTGTTTGTGCAACTTCTCCTCTCTTTACTCCACCCACCCACACCAGTGATCAAGGACCTAGGCATAGAGCCTTATGACGAGGAGACAGGCCAGGGGATGCTCAGATACATCCAGGTGAGGTCCGGATCAGGTGGATTCCATCAGGTGATTCCAGGTGCCCATCAGGTGGTTTTCAGGCACCCGTCAGGTGTTTTTCAGGTGCCCATCAGGTCGTCTCCAGCTTTTCCTTTGTTGCATTCGCTTTTGGATCGCTTCAATTAATCAAAAGCACCGTTCCAATCTCGTCTCTCCGTTTCCAGTTGCTCCTCCCCTTTAATCAAACTTCCCTGTGGATTTCTCTCACCATTAACATCACGTCGGTTCTTCCGGCTGCCTTTGCGACGGCTCAAATTCAAAATCGTCTTCCATCTTGAGCCGTCGCAACGCAACATCCCCATGCTCCATGCAGCTTGCCCCACCACACCTCCTGCCACATGGTCATATGCCTCATCATCTTCCTACCTACCGCACTGGACTCCCCCCCACCCATTCACACACCCTGCAGCTTGCTCTCACCACCAACGACACCTCCATCCCTGCTGCTGAGAGATACTTGCAAGGTATGCGGTGGTGGGTGGGATATCACTTTTGAGAATTCTTTTGAGAATGAATATCACTTTTGAGAATTCTCAAAAGTGGTATGTGGTGGGTGGGATATGTATGAAAAGAGTTGATTTTTTTTGTTCTCTCAAGAGTCACCTTGACACCTCCATCCCTGCTGCTGAGCGGTATTTGAGAGGTATGTGGTGGAACATGTATGAACGAACTTATGCGTTGACTCAAGAGCCACCCGGACACACCTGTCCTGGCTGGTGAGAGATACCTGAAAGGAAGGTGTGCATTCAATGCTCGTTGACTGCATGTTGTGTGCTGATTGATTGTATGTTGAATGCACATTAAGATGCCTCAAACATACAGCCACCACCACCGCCCGAATTCTCTCATAAACTCGTCGTCCCATCATCGCAACATCTCAGCATACTGCCATATCACGCTGACTTTTGAGTCGACTCAAAAGTCAGCTCGGTATAATGTCACACGGTGTTTTTGAGTCAACTCAAAAATCATCGCAACATCTCAGCATACTGCCATATCACCATCCCAGGAAAAGTGCAGCTGATGCTGGAGTGGAATGCAGGTTTTGAGTCATCTCATAGGTAACACCACCACCACCACCACCACCACCACCACCACCACCACCACCACCACCACCACCACCACCACCACCACCACCACCACCACCACCACCACCACCACCACCACCACCACCACCACCACCACCACCACCACCACCACCACCACCACCACCACCACCACCACCACCACCACCACCACCACCACC